AAACTACAGACAAAGGCCGGTAACCAATCGAAAAGTGACGATACCTTGCCGTCACAAGAAACTCTCACGAACCTTCAGGCCCTGTCGACTAGGAAACTGCGTGAAATAGTCCAATCAAGATCAGCAGATGTCGGGAACTTTGAGAAGAATCAGAGTGAGCTAATTGCTGCCAATGAATTACTGGGTCGAGAAGATAATTAAGGGGCCAAAAATCCCTTCTTACGTATGCCTTTTCTTTACCTTCTCAACTAGTTCCCAGTCGCGTGCCGAGACGAATGGCTATACCAGCCTCTTAAGGTTGGTTGATATTTCTTCCTGGTAGCCTCTAGGGAGCTGTTAAGGATGGGCCGATATTTTGAATTGCCAACCTTCTCTACCAACCACATCCCCTTTCTACCCCTCCCTTTCCCATTCCCTCCGCAGCCTGACACGATTCGCTAGCCAGTCGAATATTGACCTGGAAAGAAGCACGGAACAAGATTCCCAGACTTTCCGAGATTCCTCTGTTGGACGGCTGGAAATAAGCGCAGAACGAGGGACGTATGCTAATGATGCAATACTATTTGGTGCTTGACCAAATTTTTACCATCCTGGACGAAAGCCTCATGTCATCTACTTGACTTTATCTTATCAGAAATGCTGAAGGCCTCTTGCACATTTTAAATTATTACCATTTTTATATCTCAACTTCATTCAGCCACAATCACTATACATACAACTCGGCTGATGACAAACAAGCAATCCAAAAAGCTTGACCTTCGTGCTAATAACCACAGAATATGTTTGCCTGAGATATACTGTTCTATTTTAAATTTCAGTACCTCTACTATTGGCTCCAACGCCGAATGTGCCCTACGACTAGCGCACTTGGATCGGGCAGGAAGCGGCGACGTGGCACCAAGCATTTGGTTTGGCATGTAGACTGTTTTCTCCTGTGCCTTTGGCGTTCCGTCCCCTATTGTGGAATGGTGGACAATGTTGACAAGGACAAGAGAAGGGTACCAGTGTGGCTTTTGGACCTTGATGCTGTTGCGATTTGCAAATTTGAACATTGCCCAGGAGACTCACATGTGCATGCGCATAAGTTACTGGGTTTTCATCCTGTTTGAAAATACATTTTCCCCTTCTCTCGTTTTCGTCTCAGTTCTCACCGCCTTTAATAACTTGCTTCGCTGACTCATGATGGTTTTGAAGCTGATGCAAGCCACGATTCCTTTGATGGCACATTCTTATGCCACCGATTTGTGGTTGGAGTATGTCACCGAGTGTTGTCTAACAAGGCAGCATCTTGCCTTGTACTGAGTTTCATCCCTGAACTGGATTGGTGCGGTATTAGGATTAGGATGCGGGCGGAGATTGCGGAACTTTCAGAGGGTAACATAATATGCTCGGATCTTGTCTTATCAATCTATCATTCGATCAGTCAATCTCGCTTCTGCTTTCGGATTCAACTCCTCTCTCATATTCCGACTATTGATACGGTCTGATCCACCTCCTCAGCCTTCCAGCCTGGGATTACCTCATTTTTTTTTTCCGCTCCAGAACGGAGCTAGAACCAACCTATGGGATGGATAACATAGATCAGGCAGCAAAGAGCAGGCAGGTGCTGGACAAAATTAATTCCTCTTACCGAATTTTCCATACCATCCCATCCAGGCGTTCCTGCAAACCTACCACCCGTGTGCGCACAGCTGAGCAGTGTTGGCACAAAAGGGACAAAACACGATAAAGGCCCACGACAGAGACGGGAGTGTACAATGCGATAGCATGCAAGTATGCATGTTTCGGACCTCGTTAATACTTTTCCGCCCCTGATGCCACTGAAACAGTTTATCGTATAGGTGGGCTTACTCTTCGTGAGTTTGTGGTGTGAAGTTTAGGGAGGACTGGAAGTGCTGGAAGAGAAGTGACTGATTATTTGGAACATGAGGGACGAGCTGTTATCTATATGAACGGCTGCCAGCAAGGGGGTCTGGACCTGCCCTTTGGTATATTTTTAATTTTTCATCGCGGCCTATTTTTTTAAAATAAAAGTAAAAGTAAAAGTAAATAAAAGGTATTGTCATTTTCACGAACTTCTTTTTCACGTTCAGTTTCCTACAAAATAAGCTCCTCTAATCAGATGACGCGGAGCTGCAGCAGTTTACGAATATCCCGCCTGGATTTCCTTTTGCTTCCCATTATGACGCCTTTCCAAACAAAAGAGAGTAAAAAGAGGTGCGACGAGGCCTGATCTTCAGCGTGTCACAAACGTCGCATCGCATAAAATAAGGAGCCCAGTGTCAACCAGCGAACCACAACAGGGTTCCATTGATGCTTCTGGGGAAGGGGTTGGATATGCGCTCTTACGGAAATAGAAAATTAGCATAATTAATGCATACCGGCGTAAAGCACATCCGCACAGGACTCCTGTATGGCTGTCTTATCCCGATCGGATACCAAAAGGACGATTGTCTGGCGGAGGCAAAAAACGAAAAGAGCAAATACAATAATTTTCTCATTACCGCTTTCAGCCCAATGCCACATTGATTTACATAATTTGGCTTAAAAAGACAACGTGGAATAATGTACAGAGTATATGGAAATAATGGTACTGAGTAGCGTTTGTACACTGCATGTACTCTGCAAGTCACTCGTCACGCATCTTACAGTGAGCATGGAACCTCAAAGTGAAGCGGAAGGTACGTAGCCTGCCGACCAATCAGCGGTCCGGGGACATTGGGACAAGCGACTTGGGATTATTCCTCATATTCCCCAGGTCAACAACGTCAGGTTGCTGGTGCATGTTCAAACTTCTTCATGAAGGCCACCAATCACAGCAGCAAAATGGCATTGATTGCTATTTTACGTGATGACTGATTCTCTGCAGTAGTCAGGTCAAGGTTATCTCGTTGTTCGGGCGTTAGTGGGAAAGTTTCTCTGGGTCATGAATAGAGAGATTCTCCAGCAAGCGGCTCCTTTGAGACTGTCTTATATAAGTTAATTCAACCATCCTTTGTATTGGACGTTGAACTCATTACTGATGTTGATTCTAGATCTCTCTTCTTCTCCATTTCTAGAATGGTTGGACATGAGATTTCTTTCGCTGCCCTGCATATCAGGAACTGGATGCAGATGCAGTCAAACTCGCGACGGGGCAGTGTGGCTATCGGGCTAGTGGACAGTTACGGAACTTTTGGGCCTAGGACGATTTTTGTCGGGCTGGGCTTGATTCCATGTTCGACTGGCCAATTATCGACCCCAACTTAACTGCATCATCGACGCCATTGGTGGATTGTTTAGTTTTTGTTGCAGTGTTGTGATAAACAGAATTTAAGAGACCTGACTGTTCTTTGTTATTTCTGGTAATAAGTATATATTTTTGTCATTTCCCAGCTTGTAATATCTTTTTCTTTCTTATTTTTTTGCTTTGGAAGCATTTTGTGCGTGATTAACTATATAATTACTCCCTGGTCCCGGTACAGTGTACTCCGTATGGATGTTGATGTACGACTGACTCGCCCAAGACATACACGTTTCTTTCCCTATCATCCCTGCTGCGATTCTGTCTTCATACTCTCGAGCAAGAACCAGGATTATTCGTCCTACCACCTCTATCCACTAGGTATCCGACCCGTTCACTCCTTCTCGTGACAAGCACAGTCTTGCCCTAAATTCTAAGATCTACGGCAAGCAAAACAGAGAGATCGAGACTAAAACCAAGAGACGACTGTATTCTTCCATGCAACTGCTCTCACAGGCAAGAATATCGAGATTTATGCGACCTTTTTCTTCCTGGACCATGTATCATCCTTGCTACTATTCTTATCCCATCTATTAAATATACCAGCGTCATCGCTTCCCTCTCAACCACTGATCCGGGATCGTGCTGCAAGATCTGAATTTTGCCCTCTGCTTCTTTCACGTCCTCGTGTGGATTGGGCATCAAACTAGACGCCCGTCTCTGTATGGCTGTTTTTCTCGTTTTTTCGTCCGTTTTCTTTCCAACCCCACCAGCATCACCACCACCCCCTTGACCCAATTCTTCATCTTCATCATCATCATCTTCTTCTTTTTATGGCACGTATAAATATAAATATGTTATCTTTTCTTGCTTATTTATTTGGTTCTTTTGTGTATACATTATTGCTGTTAACCCTTTGTTGAAAGCTGTGCATGTGCTGTACCATATCCATCTATTACTATTTTGTCATATTTATCACCGTATTGATAATTTTTGTTACCCTTTTGAAACTGAAATATTACTGCTACTATTATTACTTTGCTACCATGCTGTGTACACTTCACTGATTGATTGCCCATTCTCACTCTTTCACCCTTTGATCAATATTTCAATGGTTGTTCCTCTCGCGCATGCTCATCTCTCGTTATCTCGATCTAGCATATCCCTCACCATCGATCTGATTGATTTTGCCGCAATCTTGTTTGTGGCAAGACGTTTATCCATAACTTAAATACCTGGTTCTTTGAAACACTGATCTGGCAGTCCGCTGCTCGGCGCATTTCCAGTGTCCAGAATTCCCATCCCCACGAGCTTGGGGCATCAGCCGTCGCTCACTCAGCTTTGAGCCACATCACACCTTCACCCACCGCCTGTCCCACCAAGCGTATCTTGTCAGGGCTTTCTTCCTCGTAAGAAAGAAGCCCAGACAAGATTTTGCCTTTACATCAATCCCATGCCGTAAGTTTTTTCTTTTTCTATTTTATTTTCTCTTTTCTTGTTATTCCGTTCTCAATTTTATTTTCCTATTTTCCCCATCCTTTCATAACCTTCATTTTATTTTATTTTGCAGTCGCGGCTCTCTGCCTCGTTTAAAATCACTCTTTTTTGTCATTCTTCTCTTATTCATCCTTTATACACATTCGCAGTCCAAAAAAAGATTCCAAAGGCAACCAAGAAGGCTTGTGGGTAAGGTCCTAACTCGTATTTATTTTGCTCTCCCTCTAGGTTAAACATAAGGATTGATCATGAAACCTCCCTTGGTTCTGGTAACTCCTCCATGACCGACGAAGAAGACTCCTCTGGCACTGGCGTTCAAGTCTCCCCTCCCTCCGCAACTGGTAGCCACGACCATTATGATCACTATGACGTCGGTGGTGATTGGGCCCATCTGAGCTATCCTGATGAACTAAAACCCTCCGACTCTGCCTCCAGACCAAGAACTTCTAATCGCCATCACAATCCTAACGCCGCCAGATCGGGGCCCAGTCGTCGTCATTCCACCCGCCATCATCTTCCGCCAGAACGGGAACCAGGAGCGCACCGGTCAAGGAGGCACCATCACCCTCCCGCTCCCCCTTCGCCAGCGGAGAGTGAGGACTTTGGTGACGACTACGAGGAGGAGTACCCCCCGCCACGAGGTCCGCCCGAAAGACCATACTGGGCTCCCCATGCTCCCGCTCCGCCACCAGGGTATGCCCGGAGTGCTGTTTCCGCGCCATCATACAATCCATACCCCCAATACGGGAACGTGCCATACGGACCCATGCAGCCTGCGCACGCGGGGCATCCTGGGATTACGTCGAACCAATTAGTGCAGTTGGGACACATGGCACAGATGGGCCATATGGGCCATATGGGTAGTATAAATGGGCACATGGGCCATTATCCGCCAGGCCAGCCGCAAAATTACCCTTATGGACCATCCCTGTTTCCCCCACATCCACAAGCACATAATCATCCAATACCCCCACCTTTCTTCAACGGCCAAGAATACCACATTCACCAGCAGCAAATTCCACATCCACGAAATCGCCATGTTCACCACCATCGCCGGACGCGGAGCCAATCTCACCCTCCACCGCCACTACGGGATGAAAGTGAAAGCCCCCCTCCCAGACCTCATTATGCCCATACTGTGCACCCGGGACATCCAATTGCTCAATTCCCACACTCTCCCCTTTGGCCCTGCGGATATGGTTCCTTACGCTGGCGGGCCCCATGGAGGTCCCCACGTTGGTCCTCATGTCCTTGGAGGCCCACATGGAGGTCCTGGCTACTTCTCCCCATACGGGCATCACTTTCCCCTGCCCCCTGGCATGATTGCACCACATTTCTTCCACCAGTTTCAGCGCCCACGGTCGCTATCTCCGCCACCGCCAGCAAAAGAACCTTCTTCTCCACCCACTGCTCCAACCGTGCCGCCTCCACCACCCCAGCCGGATTCCAAAGACGAAGCGATCGCCCGGCTAGAGAAGCTTATTCTCGATGAACGAATGGAACGGGAAGCCAAGGAAGCTGCCCGTGAAGCTGCTATCGAAAAAGCTGCTCGTGATAAGGCTGCTGCAGAGGAACGCGCAGCTATAGAAAAAAAGATCGCTGAAGAAGCCGCAGCCAAAGCAAGCAAAATCGCAAGAGCAGAAGCTATGAAAGAGGCGGAAGCGAAAGCCGCGGAAGAGGCTGTCAAGGCTAAAATAGCTGCAGAGGAGGCTGCAGCACTGGCAGCCGCAGAAGCCGCGGAGAAGGCTACTATTGAGGCCAATGCTAAGACTGCAGAAGCCGTCGCCGCTGCCACTGCGGCTGCGCTCGCGCCTCCTGCTGAGAAGAAGAAGCCAATTAAGTTCAAAGACGCTGTTGGAAGGAAGTTCAGTTTTCCTTTTCATCTGTGCAACACCTGGCCGGTAAGTTTCATTCAAGTTCAAGGGCCTGTATCAGATTTCTGTGATCTCAATAGCGCACAATTTTAACTATCTTTTGTTCTTCCTATAAAATGTAGGGCATGGAGGATCTTATCCGACAGGCATTCCTCCACGTTGACAGAATAGGACCTCATGTCGCCGAAGGCCACTATGATCTGGTTGGCCCAAACGGTGACATCATTCTCCCACAAGTCTGGGAAACTGTAGTAGAACCGGATTGGACCATCACTATGCACATGTGGCCCCTTCCGGAAGAGCCCAAGACACCGGATCCATCCATGGTACTAGAGGACGACCGTAACCTGGTTACCATCGTGGATCTGAAGCGTGCAGAGGCTGCAGGTGCGCCCCCTCCTCTCTATCCCCCTGTTCCGCCGCCTCCTCCAGATGTCGCGGCCTTCATGGCTTCGGGTCTGCCGCCACATCTAATTCCGGATCCATTTGTTGACCTTCACCATCCAATTCCAGCGGATGCGCAACCACCTCCACCGCCTCCCGGTCCAAAAAGACCGCGTCCCCGGGATCTCCCTGCGGGAGCCTTTGCTATGTGGATGACGGGAAATAGAGGCAAATTAAACCGGGCTTTAAAAGCGGCAAAAAAGCCTGAAGTCATCCCATAGCCGCAGCAGCAGCGCAACAACATGATGAATCATTGCTGCGCCATGTGAATTAACGTTGGGTTGATGAAAACACAATAAATATCGCATCCCGCATCCGGCAAATCATTTCTAGCAGAACACTCCTTTGCCCCTTCTTTATCCCACGATCCTTCTACAGATGACTGACAAGGTATTCATACTACTGGACGAAACATAAACAACAATGGAAAAAAAAAAATACCCAAAAATACCCGTTAACAGGAACAACAATGACTGGAATTTGCTTTCATGGATATATATCTCCCGCCTAGGTTGACTAATTCTTGAACGCGGAAACAAAATTGCCCAGACTGAACTGACTAACAACAAAACCCGACTCCTCGAGGAACCAGGGCAATGTCCACTTCATTATGTTTCTACCACGCCTCACTATCTAGCGGGACATGGCGCCAAGAGGAAAAATGAACCCCTAGAAAGCTTAATTGTTGGTTTGTCTTGTGTTTCATACTTACAATCTATATTCTTTTTTTCCGCTGTTTCCCTTTTTTGCCGTTTTAGTCGGCTTGTTTGTGTCTCCATGTAGTTATATCCTGGACCTTCATCTGTCCTCCCTCTCTCCATCCTCTATCTCTCTCCTTGATCCTTTATAAGAGTCCGTTGTGCGTTGTTTTGTTGTTATCTACTGTTGTCATGTTTTATGAGTGCTATGCTTTGATTCCTGCTCATCTGATCCCCCCCCCCCCCCCCCCCCCTCCCTTTTTTTTAACTCTCATCTCCTTACCTTCTACCTATCAAGTTCCTCCCTCATTTTCTCCTGTCTTGAATGGATGGAGAGTATACCACTGTTATCAGTTAGGAGCTCTAACACAAACCTGATTCCCTTCAACTATGTAGTACTTTCCTAAATTCCTTTTTGGGTTCCTGTCCGATACTGGCGGTGTTCGGGACAAAATATTGAGAAAAGGCATGTGGGGGTGAATATGCCACTTTCGATTTGTTTCACAAACCGGTGAGAAAAGGAGCAACGAAAAGGCTCGAATGGCGGTGTTTCACTTCCCCTTTTTCCGCCTAGGATCTTGCTATTCAGACCCTCTTTCCTTTGCATTTTTGTATTTGAACCGTTTTCTTTAGCTTTTTCATTTAGATTGGCCCTTTGGTTACTTAAAATATATACCCAATTCTATCTATCTATTTCGTTTATTCATTACTCATAATAGCTTGCAATCTATGTGTATGAAAGTAATAATTTAGTTATTGGTCTATCTAGAACTCCTTTTATCAAACAGTTTTTCAGTGGACTTCCGTTAATACTGAGTCTTTCTCTCGCTTCTTATTGTTTGTATATACTCATTCCATCCACTTCTATGGTTACGGAGCGGCAGCAACAAACCTATCCCTCAACTGTCTGAATATAACATTAATTTCGTTATCTCTCTCCACTACGACCATAAATAAAGCCAGAGAAATAAAAATATCAAAAAAAATATTAACTAATAGTAGTGTGCAATAATAGCACAAATCGTTCCGTAGATGAGATAAGAAGTATGTCGTCCCTAGTAGCTAGCTGCTTTATCAATATATGTTTAAACAAATTCCATATACCCTCAACCCTCAACTCCAACTACTAGACTCCAACTACGACCCTCTGTACATGGAAATCGTTTAAACTTTTGTTTTACCCTTAAAGAGACTCCCCCTCATGCTCATGGTTAGACATATACCAAAGGTGGAGATCAAAACTACCATATGCAGCCTTCCTTGACCCCAAAGCCTATGAACATCCCATTCCCACAAATTAGAATTAAAACAACCCATAATGTCCATATTCATACTCATATCCAGCCATTCACCCTTGTGAGCGAAGCGGTTTCCACCCGGCAATATTCTCCTCAACATCCCCATCCAAGAGACTCGGCGTAGAAGTGTTAAGGGGCGCGGCTGACCTCCTAGCAGGGAGACGAGGCAACGACACCTCGGGTGAGGGTAGGTTAGGGTGTGGTAAGTCGCCAGTGTAACACCTTTCAGGTTTTGCCTTTCTAGGCTGGACGGGAGGAGGAAGAAGGGGCTTTGCTGGATGATTGCTTCCTGACGTGAACAACTCTGCCCCTCTTTCTTCTAATGTTTTGCGACGTGGGAGAGGTGGTTTGGATCCGGTCGTGGTTGCTTCTCTTTGCGGTGGTGTTAGGACTGGTGTGTGAATTGGAGCTGAGGGTGTTCTTATGATATTGGCATCTGCATTTGTGGTTGCAGTTGGAGGAAGCGCTATGCTCATTGTCATCGATAGGGGTTTTGTAGGGACTGGAGGCGCGCGTTTCTTAGGTGCGGCCAAGTCCCCATCGCTAGTTGTTGACAACTCAGTCATACTCCTACTTGGCAAAGGTGGTGAAAGTTTCTCTCCGTTTTCGATGTCGATAAGAGGTGCCTTAGATCGAAGGGGCGTTGGAGCCGGGAACCCCGATTTCCCGATGTCCGAAATACCGTCTACTTGGCCTTTGGTAGGAGAAATACTCGGATAAGAAAGGTGAATCCACTCGGACTCAGGAGTTGTAGAAAATGGATTTGCAGGTCTGCTTGGATTGGCAGCAAGTCCATGTGGTGGCTTCAGTGTCGACTTCGCAGGAAGTCCTGTTGTGAGTTAGAATATATATTTTTATTATCGCAAAATGAACCAAGTCCTACGGAAAAGCAGGCAAACTCACCGTTGTCAAGCCACCATTTATGGCGATCAGAACTGGCTGGCGGAAGTCCAGGGTCGATCGCATCAAATCCTATAAAGTCCTCATCCTCGTCATCCGTGTCCTCCGACCCAGAGTCTGCCATGCCGCTAATAATGCGATTTCGTTCATCTTCGTAGAGGCTCCTACGTATCTCTTCTTTCAATTCCTCATTCACTACGCTTATTTCACAATCGAAAGTCGCGTATACAGGGCGATGATCTGAGAACTTCAAGGACGCCGCATTGTACTCTAGTTGGCGTAAGTTTCCCCCTTTCCACAGAACCCTGTCACACCAGGCTGGTATACGAGCTTTTTCTCTATGCGTCGTTAGCATATGTTCAAAAGAAAGGGAAAAAAGATAACATACGATGTGTCATAGAGATCAGTTCCATTGTCGTACTTATATGTTGGAGGGAAGGTAATTCGGGCCTCCGAATAGAATGGGAACGTGAGGCCAGCAACCATTTGTAAATTGAGCTGCAGAAGTCAGCAGTGTGTTCAATAAAAGTTGTCGCGGCTAAGGATAAGTTACCTGATCGTTCTCATATAGAGTTTCTAAATCTCCGTCTTTTATGAGGCCCCTCACCCGGTCATTAGGCAAGCCAATTCGGTAATTGAAGTCTCCAAGCCATATTATGGCGTCGTGGTCTTCGATTGACCGATTTCTCTGGAAGCGAAGTCCTTGACTGATTGTTTGATAGTCACGATTCCGTTCGTCGTAATTTGAAAATCCGGCCGCAAGATGCGCTGTAACAAAGCATATTCGCGTGTTCGAACATTGCAAACGAATGGCGCATCCACCCTTGTTGCCGGCAATTCCAGACATACCGGTCTTGTTTTCAATTGTTAGTAATTTAGAAACAGCAGTGAAGCGGGAACGTTAAACTATACCTTTTTCACACTACCCTCAACAGCTTTTATATCGGTAAGCAATTCAGATTTGACAAATATCAAAAGAGCAGTGCCCACTAGTTGACCGCTTCGAAGGAGAACATATTCGCTCACACCCTTCCTGTTGGCGTAGTCATTTAAAGTGTTCTTCACAGCGTTCTCCCATATTATTCGGTTCCCAGGGTCAGTCGACATAATCTGTTGTGGGCTTAACTCAACAATCTCCTGAAATCCGACAGCGAATATCGCGGGATCCTCATGTAAACGATCAAGATGAGGTAATAACCATGGAGAGAGATCGGTTACTTTGGCTCCATCGCTCCGACCGTTGACATTGAACGTTCCAACCCATATCCGTATCCTTTTCGAGGAACTGAACTCTTGGGCCCTCTGCCTTAGAGCTCTGTTTACAGAATCACTAATGGGGTCGTATAGATGCACGGTACTCTGGCCAGTCAGAGTCCCCAAAAGGAGATCTATAGTATTTTGTCTCGCGCTATCAGTGAAGGTGTTCATATATAGACGGGCCGCGCTTTTCCTTATATCTGCAAATGCGCCGGCAAGAGACATCTTGCCATGTCGGGTATATGATGACTTCAAAGCGCCAGAACCAGCATATATTTTAGAGAGATTGTCACCATTGTCCGCCCACAGGGTTGAATGCCTCCTCCAAAATTCAGCCGGTGCTTCCCCACCTTGCTGTTCCAGGAAAGATTCAAGTGCCATCTGACTTATAATGGTCTGTACCAGATTGGTCCGATCCAGGCAATCTAAACAGTTTGTTCGAAAAAAGCCCTGTTGCTGGAGAATAACTGTCTGGCCCTTGCTTGCATCTTCAATAGAAGTCAATGGCTCTTTGTTTTGGTGAGAATCTATAGATAAAAAGAAACCGAATGCATCTGCAGAATCTTGGATTTGATGTCGAATTATGGAGGCACTCTGGTACCCTGCAGGGCCCTTTGTCTCTGCATGAAAATCAAAGTCTGTTGTACGGAGCAGATGGTGTTCGGAGGATGTGTTCGGATCGCGACTGTGTCTTAAAGGGCTTCGGGAGATATGATATCGATATCGTTGAGATAATTCTGCTTCTCCCGGTTTTAGTTCCGTGAGGAGGTTTACCACATGCACGGCACCATAGGTCAAAGACAAGCGATCAAAATGTCTATCAAACGCAGGTTGAGAGGCGTCTACAGACCTAGTAATTTGAATTTTCTGACCACCTATGGCAACGCTTTGTTCCCAGAAAATTGGGAGAGATCCGCGAACCTGGGTATAAGCGAAACATATGCCAGGAGGAACCCATACAATAGTTTCCGTTTCGACAAAATTAGAAACATTTCCTTCGTCATCGATACCGCGAGAATTAAACCTGGTTCCGGCCCTTCTTGAGGAGAGTCGGGATATCAACGTCAAGCTTGACGGTAGATTTGAATGAGAGGTTCGCAGGAGTGGTGTGGACGCAGGAATTGTTAACGAATAAACAAATCCTCGGATGGCTGATGTCAAAATCCGGGATGCGTCCAGTGCCTGGCGCTCAGATTCTAGCAAATGACTTCGAAACAGCAGTAGAGGCTCAATCATATGGGAGTTCCATAAAAAGTCCCTGTCAAGACTATCGATATCGAAGGAGGTCGTCTCCTCGGCCCTTTTAATCTGTTAGCTAAAACTAAGGTTACTTCTCTTCTTTGAATGGTCCCGGACAGGCTTACCTATCTTGAAGACGGTCAGTAAGATTGAAGTCGACGCTGTAGTAGAAGCTGCCGTCACCAAGCAGTTTTTTAAGAGGAAGAAATGGATTTTCGGTGACAACTTCGCGACCGTCATAGCCAGTTCCATAGTCGGTATCTTCAGTATGATATGCAAAGGCCGTTCTAGATTCATAATCCAGATCGTTGTCATAATCGGGGCGGTTCAAACAGTCTATTTATACCCTGTAAGTAATAATCCAGGCGGGTTCCAGGGAAGAGTACCGGGAAGAAATGATATATTCATACAAAATTCCACGTTCACGATCCTCTGGACAGTTTCTCCCGGGCGCACCGTAGCTGCCTGGGACGCATGAGATACTGTACAGAGAAAGATATCACTTGCCAACGCGATCAAGCCAAGGGTTCCATGTGCACGACCTAGGGCTCTGAAGCCCGACAGGTCAAGCGAATCCAGCGTATCAAATTCGATATGACACTTTGGTGGGCTAATGTTGGAGTATGACGCAACCGAGCTCGACTCAGAAGTGACGGGAACGTGGTTAAGGACCAGGCCATGGTTGTCAGAGATCAATGCCAGCGCCCGATCAGGCCGGTCTCGACAGAGAACACGCAGAGACATCGTTGCTGTGTATGCTTTGTATAGCGATGTAGTGCCTGGGGACGTGTGTGTGCATAGCTAGAGAGTCACCTATCAGGAAAAGAGGACCAAGTTACTACCATTTCCCAAGTCTAAGAGCGTTATTAGAGTGTTGTAGATGTGAAATATCTATATAGATATACGTTGTGCCTGATTGTCGCAGCGTTTTAGGTGGCGGGGAAGAATTGTGTTGGATTGACTTTGGCGGCCCAACACAACTTGCAACCTTGGTCAGCCAGCAAGCAAGATATTTACTAGGTACGGATATCAAAGAGTGGGCATTGCTGTATGAGTGTCTCTCATTATTTAAATGATAAGGTTTTATGTTTTAGTTGCCTCTCTTAATAGTTGTTACTTGCTTTGTTCTTTATTACGGTTTCCTACTGGTCACCAGCGGAGAAACGGATTGCCCGCCAAAGTATTAAATGCTGCATCCAGTTATTGATCAGGATTTTAAAGTCACAATAAATACCCCACTGCGAAGAGGATGACAGAATGAAAATATGATGTGATAACGAATTTAGGCTGTATTAAGAAACCCCAGCAAAGTGGGTAGGTAATACATATAATTAAAGATACAAAGTCATCTAGGGGAATATCCCTGGTGCTGCGCTTGCAATCGTCGATCTATCTTGATCAATTAAGCATTTCGAGCGTCATCATCAACATATTTACGCAAAGTACCAGCCGAAAACGCTTTCCCATAGATCCGAAATGGCTAACCCATATACGTATAACAATGGCTCCCATCCCCAATGATCTCATTTCGACGGTGGTCTAAGTATATATGGTAAAAGGTCGCATGTCCTCGTAGATCTCGTCTATCAAGGTTTGTCGTGGGAATCGGAAGAATGCCTCATCCATTCATCGCTGGAGTTTTTCATTTAAGGTTTGATATCCTGCGCGACAGGACCGACTCCAGTTCGCCGTGAGCTGCTTCATACAGATCACCCAGCGTCTGCATTTTGGCCACGATCGCCAGCTCAATCTCCGTCCTCTTCTTGACCAGTTCTGACAGGCGCTTGATTTGCGCTCTCCGGTGTCTCATGCTTTGGGCGTAGCTTGATCGTTAGAAGGTTGCCAATGTAAAAAGGCGGTTATCCCCTTATGCATCTTTTGATTTTAATAATTAACAATGTAAAACCCACATAGACAACTTGTTCGAATAAACCATTGTTTGTATCCCTTCCTCTGTTTTCTTAACCTGAGCTCTATGCTGAGCGCGGAGTTTCTGCCATTTGTGCTTGCTACGCTTTTCAACCTACGATCGACACATGTTTGAGTTAATATCGAGGTTAAATTTAACAAGCATTCTTCTAAAGCAGAAGCAATTAGCAATCAAGGCATGCAGATGTGCTTTCTCACGGCACTACTCAGGTCCTTCAACAAATCTGCAGGAGTCGATGAGACAAACAGCCCGTGATCTGAGTCGCTTTTCCCGGTGCTGACTCTTGCAGGGCGTCCGCGTCGGCCTGTGGTGGTTTTCTTCCCCGCCATTAGCTACCCTGGGACCAACCGAAAGTCTTAGGCTTGACGTGGTTTATAGCTCTGGAGAGTTTGACAGGCCAATGTGGACAATAGCCAGTTATGATCTTCGATGATGGTTGCGGTGAGAATGAAGCAGAAGTTTGATGGGAAGATTGCTCTAAATACATCGGAGTCTTCCGAGAAATGCAAGTAGGTCACGTGGTGATTAGCCAGCCGCTGTCCGGTACCAAATATATCTTTTTCATTCATAACCAGAAATTGAGCTCTGGAGACATAACAAAGACAAGAGCAACAAAACATTTCCAGAGATACATATCTCCCCTTCCTGGCACTCCCCGCAGTTGCAATGGGGTTAGCCGGCCCTCGAAAGTCAGTAAACAGTTCTTCTTCTCCATCCTCACGGCTTTTTCCTGCTAACCAACATATTCTCTTATCCAGGAGGACCAAAATCTCCCATGACCCCAACAACACCGCATGGGCCCGCTCAACCTCCGGCTTTGGCCACAAAATTATGAGCGCCCACGGCTGGACCCCCGGTAGCTTCCTGGGCGCCTCCAACGCTGCTCATGCAGACCACTTCACCTCTGCGAGCGCAGGTCATATCCGCGTTATTCTCAAGGATGACAATCTGGGACTAGGCGCCAAACCCCGTGCGGGGGACGAACCGACGGGGCTTGATGCTTTTCAGGGACTCCTAGGGCGTCTTAATGGGAAGAGTAATGCGGAGCTGGAAAAAGAGCAAAGGAAGAGGGATGATAGGCGCCTTACTAATTTTGTGGAGAAGAGATGGAAGACGATGCGGTTTGTGAGCGGCGGGCTGCTAGTGCATGAGAAGATCCAGGCGCTCACGGAGGTGCAGAGCGGCAGCAGCGAAGGAGAAGCAGAGGAAACGCAGGAAGACAGTAAATCGGAGACATTAGAGAAGACGAAAAAGGAGCGCAAGAGAGAAAGGAAAGCAAAAGGTGGTGATTCCAATTCAGATGTCTCTCAAGAGCTCTCAAAAAAGAACGAGAAGAAATTAAAAAGGGAAAAGAAGAAGAAGACGAGGTCTGGTGACTATTCAAGTCCGTCTACTGATACCACAACACCTTTGGAGGATGCCCTCATCAACAAGAAACGGAAAAAGTCCAAGAAACGAAAACAACAAGATCTTGAATTCATTTACCCTGAGGAGAGAGACAGTAATGGCGCGGATACTGAGAGCTCTGTGGGACGGGATGAGGAAAAATCGACTTCCACAATTTCCAACCATACGCATATTGTGAAGGTCAAGGAACATAGGCCATTGGGTCGCCAGTTTACCCGTGGCCGCTATATTCAGCAGAAGAAGCTGGCTCTGATGGATGCGAAATCTTTGAATGAGGTATGTTTTCCCATATGTATCCCCTTGTTTCCTTATTAAACCATGGCTAATTTATTTTCTAGATTTTTATGGTGAAGTGATGGATAGGGGAGCATTCACTTTTTGGACACCCCCGACCAGTTTTTTCTGATTCAACCTACTTGAATTCCAAACCATCCGGCTGCTGGTCACATATTTTTCTTCTTTATACTTCTACTGAGTTTCATTGGCGTGCTGTTCCTTTTTCTTCCTTTTGATCGAGAGGTGTTTACCGTTGGATCAGGATCATAGAACATGCTATTATTCTATATACATACATATATTTCTTATCGTCTCAATTTTTGTGATAGCTCATCGCTATCTTCTCCCGAACATGTCGTTTCATCCAGGATGTGAGCAGATATATCGTCATGAGAGTGCGGATGGAGGATCTGTTAGATATCCTTGCAACATTTCGATCTCTTTTAAGGATATTTCTAACTCTTTGAATATTCTATGCTGCATACGCGTTTTTCTAATATACTTACATGTCATCAAATGGGGACGACAACAACAGGAGATAGGTGAATATGAAAAGTTGCCACGACAACCACTCCCCTATAACACTACGGCAACCAGCGTGGATATCACAAACTTGTGAAGACAAATACTCCGTGATCTCCTCTGAGTGGATTCCTCTTCTTTATATTCAATTTCTAGTGTTTTATCTTTCGTCCATTTCCGCAGCTCTACAACTGCCAGACAAAATGGGTGATAGATTTCTTCGCGGCCCCTCGCCCAGCCCTTGGCTGATCAGCTTTGGAGGCAGGCCAGTTGCTAGACACCTTCGCGTGCCGTCGGTCCAGGATCAAATTGAGCATGACAAGCAGGAGCTCGGGTTAAAGAGCGTTGAGAGCGGATCGGCTGCGGAAAACCTTTCCATGGTGTCAGTCCAGGATCAAATTGAGCGTGGCAAGAGAGCACTCGGGTTGAAGAGCTTTAAAGGTGGTCCGGTTGCCGAAGACCCTTTCATGCTGTCAGTCCAGGGTCAGACTGAACGTGACAATAAAGAACTCGGATTTGAGGAGGAAATTCGCGACATGAGGGCTGCTAATACAACCCCAGTTAGTGTATGAAATGAAACATATATATACTTCATTGTTATACCGATATTCATAGAGTCACAACCCCTTGATTCTCATCATTGCTGTCTGCTAACCTTTCGCCCCCTGAAACGAACAGTACAATCTCTCGGACACTGTTTCTTATCACTCATACCACAATAACAATACCCCATCAACACCAGCAACCCCCAAAACCCCCACCGCCTCACACCTCTCTTTTTACGCTCTGGCTGCCCGCGCATATCAGGAATCCATTCGCCCCCCAGATTCCCCGCCGCCCTCTGTCTGGGCCCCAGGCGACCAGCTACACCTTTACTATACCCAACTCCTCATTGTTTTCTTCGACAATTTCCGCACCCTCCTGCACGAACATCAACAGCTCCAAGCGCAGCAAGGAAATATAGTAATGATGAACAAAAATGCCTTCTGCAATGAATGGCTCAGACACTCCCGTAGCGTCATGGACAATATCCGCGCGGAATGGGGTCAGCATCCGCTCAGCTCTGGATTATCTGTCAAAACGACTTCAAGCAACACGATGTATAGGGATGTGGCCAATATGGCGCTGCAGCACACGATGTTGCAGCCAACAGCACCACCGCAGGAAGGGTGGAGGAGGGGCCAGCCTCTACATCCGTATTATGTGCTTATGCTTGGGAGGTTTGAGAATCAGTTGAGGAGTTTGTTGGAGGAAGAGTTTGGAAGTTCTATGGCGTTTGATGAGAATGCACTGCAGGCGGAGATATTTGAGTATGAGGCTCTTATTCTGCAAGAGTATCGGAAAATGTGGATTGAGATATTTGGGCTGTGATTTGGGGGGGTGCGGGCTAACGGTTTGTATTTACCAGGAGAGTCCTGGAAAAGGGAACAGGAGCAGGACACCATTGGGCTGTTTTTCAGTAATAGTTAGTGGTGGGATTGGGTTCGTTTTTTTGTTCCTTTGGATGGCTAATTCTACTCCACAGGAACATTTAAATCGAATATCAAATAATATTAGATCCCTGTAATGCAAACAATCGAAAAGCATCATCCTCGTCGTATATTTTGAAATCCATTTTATGCGCGGGTCCATTTATGCATGGCTTACATAGCACACTGTGGCTGGTGGCCTGTTGACTCAGCCACCTCGACGTCATAGCTGTGCCAAGCTCACTGTCGAACCTCTGGAATCAACTTCAAGTTTCGGCTTTGATACTCTGATATTGAATTAATCCCATTCGTATATATATTCTATTCATATTCTTTTTGTATATTGTGTGGGTAAGCATAAATTAAGACTTTAGACCTCCTCTTCGTCCGTCATCCTCAGCCTGGGATAGGCACCCCCCCACCCTCCCCCTCTCGGTCTGTCTTCCGCCCGACAATATATCAAAATGCCCTCCCCTTCCCCCTCCCCATCCACCGTTTTAAATTCACAGCCTTCGCGTCCCGAAGATAGAGCTGCCCTTGGTTTACCTCCTATGTCCTACGTCGAGGCTGTCCAGTCTCCCAAACATGAAGACACGGAGAGCTCCGCTTTTCACAGGGAAGGATTTGAGTTGAATAAGGATACCATCCAAGCGTTAGAACCAACGTCACCAAATGCGCGGGGAGTTTCCCAGCGGAATGGGCTCACATCTGCTCCCTTACCCCGGGGTGCTCTTAAAAACCGTGGCAGCCATGGACCGAACAATGTAAACGGCCCGCATAGAAATGGAAGACCGGATACTATGCTTAGAAGTCGGGGAGGATCTCAACACGCCAGGTACGTATCGTCATATCTTATATTCCACAGCTACAACGAGATGTCAATCTAATATATATGTTAATAGCATACGCTGGGCACCGCTGAACATAACCCTTGAACGACGGCTCCAAACCCTCGTGGTTCTCTTCCACACCATCACCGTCCCCATCTTTCTAACCGCCTTTTTCTTGGCATGTGCCATACCACTTTTTTGGCCCCTTCTTCTCCCGTACCTAGTATACATCTCCCTCTTTTCCAACACGGCAACCTCTGGCACTCTCGTCCGTCGCAGCCAGTTTCTCCGCTCCCTGCGCATCTGGAACTACTTTGCATCCTACTTCCCCGCCCGGCTCCACCGCTCCGTACCTCTGCCAGCCACTCGAAAATACATCTTCGGCTACCACCCCCATGGCATCATTTCTCACGGTGCCTTTGCCGCATTTGCTACAGAAGCACTGGGCTTCTCTACCCTCTTTCCTGGGATTACTAACACTCTCCTCACCCTTGACTCCAACTTCCGCCTCCCTTTCTACCGTGACTACGCCCTGGCCATGGGCCTTGCCAGTGTCTCGCGCGAATCTTGCGAGAACCTCCTGTCCAAGGGCGGTCTCGACAATGCCGGCATGGGCCGCGGAATCACCATCGTTGTCGGAGGCGCCAGTGAATCGCTGGATGCCCAACCCAACTCCATCCGCCTCGTCCTCAAACGCCGCAAGGGTTTCGTGAAACTCGCCATCCGCACGGGAGCAGACCTGGTCCCTGTCCTTGCCTTTGGAGAAAATGAGCTCTACGAACAGCTCTCTTCGGACCAGCACCCGCTCATTCGCAAATTCCAGCT